GATGGGTCTCTTCCGTGTCCACCGGAAACCATCACTGATGCTCCACCGTCTGAGGGCTCGTCGGCAGGCACCACCACGACGAGCATCATCCCCAATCCGGAATATCGCGCTTGGGTGAAGCGAGATCAATCGATCCTGTCTCTCCTAATCTCATCCATGTCGGATGAAGTCTTATACCTTGCACTCGGGCGAACCACATCTGCGGCAATCTGGGAGTCCATCACATCCGCTCTCGGTTCCTCCAGCCAAGCGCGTTGTCTCAATCTCCTCGGGCAATTCCAGATGCTACGACAGGGCAACTCCGCGACTGCCGAGTACCTAGGCCGTGCGGGGGTGCTTGTCGAGTCCCTAATCCAGGCCGGTCGGCCTCTCTCTCTCATGGAGTAAAATCTGTACGTGATTCGTGGGCTTCGACCGGAACTGAAAGCACTGGCGGCGTCCTTCACCTCCGGCAATGCAGTGACATTGTCGCACCTATCGGACTATCTCCAGGCGCACGAATTCATATTGGTGGATGATTACCCTACCGGCGACTCCACTGCTTCGCACTCCGCCTTCTTTGCGGGACCCGGCCTTGGCTCATCCAATGGCGGGAGGCAGTCGCAGCAGTCTGGACGCGGTGGCGGACGTCGCGGAGGACAGAATCGTGGTGGTGGCCGTGGCGGCCGCGGAGGTCCGCGGTGTCAAATATGTCGGAGCCATGGACACTCCTCCATGTACTGCTACAAAAGGTACCACCCGCAACCCTCACCCCAGGCGAACATGGCAGTGCCAGCAGATGTTCCGGCTCCAGTGCAAACTCCGGCCGATGGGTGGTATCCGGACACCGGGGCCACCGCACATGCTACGCCTGACGCGACTATGATGTTGGTGATAATGAACCAAAAATCGATTTAATATCGTAAAATAATATTTATATATACACACACGAAAGTATATAAAATATTATTCGATATATATATCCGAAATATATATATACACACAAATATATATATAAATCAGACCACCATGGTTATATGCATGAATATCTACGGAAAAGATATATACATATCAACCAAATGGAATTTATAATCCACAGATTATAATTTCAACCAAAACTATATCAGAAAAGGAGGATTTTTGCTTAGAAGCATAATCCAAAACCGAAAGAAGGAAAAGATGGCTCGTGTTTGGGTAAGGGTTTTTAGCGTGAGTCAAGAGACCACTCTTTCCTTAAAACCTTATTTGCCACCTCCCAACAGTGCTAGGAGCGTCGTTGCCTAGGTTTCCCAGGATAAAACGCGCTACGGTTCGACGTTTGAGCACCCAAACGAACGAACCCGGCGAACTAGAGCAAAGCCTTGAACACAGTTAGTCTTAAGAAAGGAGTAGAAGCAGAAGTATTTTGAAGCTTGAAAACAGAATTTCGTGTAGAGCTCTTGTGCTTGTTCTTGTTGTTTGTAAAAACTTCTGCCTTCTACCCCTTCTTATATAGGGAAGAAGTACTTAATAGCATTGATCATGACCATTAAACTTGGTTTTGTAACACCTGAAAGCGCAAGGCATCCCATGGGATTTAAATTCAAAATTTAAATTGAAATTAATTCCGTAACTGTAGAATTAAATCCCATATTTGTCTGTTGGCCTTCAGCCATGGTTCGGCCCAGAGGCCGAACCCAGACTGTCTCGTTTCGGCCCAAGGCCGAAACCTGATGCTTGCTTAGTGGGCCGAAACCTGATGCTTGCTTAGTTTCGGCCTTACTGGCCGAAACTTGTCTCGGCCTCGCTGGCCGAAACGTGTCTCGACCGAGACTTGTTTCAGTGGCCTCGATTCAGCCTGTGATTCGGTCTCACAGGCTCGGTGGCCTCGATTCGGTCTCACAGGCCGAACCCAAGTGGCTATTCTGTTGGAAAATTGATACCGAAAGTTGGCATAACTTAGCCCGCAAGGCCAGCCAATTTCTGGACGACATTCGTGCCCGCAGGTGTCGATGCACACGAGCTCGGGCTTGAATCAAGCCTTTTCGAACTCATCTCTAGTTGGAATTTGATTTGCACCCCCCGCGCGAGAGAGCCTCTATGTTATACAATTCTACAAGTTCAAAAAGAGCTCTTGTATAAAGGGGGGGGGGGGGGGGGGTCAAATCCTCTTTCCAAAACAATGTGGGACAAAGCTCACTTTTCCCTTCATTTTTCCAACTCAATGGGTCTATTTTGAGAATCAATATCTCATTCACCCATTATCCGTTTTGAGCGTACAATATATCAATCTCTTCGTCTCATTACGAAGAACCCGAATCCACTTTGATCCGACCCAAATTGAAAGTGGACCCCACTGATAATTGTACCACAAAATAGCCACTTAAAATGTCATTTTTCCAACATATGATGGGGCAATCGGAGGAATATGGCGGATCGGACGTGCTTCGCATGGATAATGGCGCAGATTTGATTATTTCGCGTGTTAGTCGCACATCAATCACATCCGTGTCAAAAACTCTCTCGTGATATATATATATATATATATATATATATATATATATATATATATATATATATATATATATATATATATATATATATATATATAGTCATTTTATATCATACTTTGACAATTATTATATTCTATATTCTATCTCAATAGTAAGTTGAATTGTATATGAACTAAACATGCTCTAAGAATATAGAGTAATGCAAGCGTAGGTACATACGTCATTTGTGTATATCATACATATATATGGTTTGATATGCATGCAATATAATGTGTGCAAATTGACCAAAAAGAAAGTTCACTTGTGTATATCATACATATATATGGTTTGATATGCATGCAATATAATGTGTGCAAATTGACCAAAAAGAAAGTTCACTTGACCCAAAATCTATCCATATATAATAATCTCTTTCAATTCATTTTATATCAAATTTCAATAACACTTTGACAAAGTATATTAAACCATTATTATTGTTTGGATAACCTTTCTGGCAGCTTCCTGATGGACTCGATGACAAGAACATACACTGATACATATCACAAATTCTTGGATAGTAGGATAATTTTACTACGGAGTATAAAGCAAATTAAAGTTGGGTACGGGAAATTAAAATTGCAGAGTTTAATTAAGCTAGGATTGTTGGAGCTCTCATTATTACTTTATCTCTATTAAACATATTTTCTCAAATTATACTATTTGTTCTGAAAGACTCAATTAACTTGTTCCCTTTCTTTACGGTTAAAGTCATAATAGATACGCTGAAGACACGTTTTTGTGTCTGGCTAAATAAATTTCGGTAATAACTGCAATGAAATAGTCAATTTCTAATTGGATAAATACAGGCAACAAGAAAGCTCATTGAGACCATGGAAATTAACCAAATATTTAACTAATCTCAGCGTAATATTAAATAGTCAATTTCTAATTAGATAAATACAAAAGCTGAAATTACATCAAGTACTAAAATGAAACCTCAAATTCAGAAAACAAATCATTTCATAAAATGCTAAATGAATTTTAGTAATAAGTGTAATTAAAATTTTAAGCAAGGGAAAGTCAATACCTTTATCATATTTTGCCAAGCCTCTGAACCTTATGACTAATGGATCCATTTTCAGGTTTCTGAAACTAAGACTAGAAATAGTCATTATAATCAATTAAAGAAACTAGTAAATGAACAATAATATGACATCTTAAACTCCCAATAATACAAGCCCTCAATAAAAGGATTTCTAAAAAAGCACAAAACTTTGCCAAGTTCAAAGATGCTTTCATTACATAATGATGATAACTAGATGTGATGATTGTAGCTAACAATAAGGAATTAATCTAGAATAACAATTTTTTTTTTTTTTGAGTATACTAAGGGTTTCAATTTCCAAAACTAAGAATCGAACTCTTAACCTTTAGTTAAAGATGAATAAGTCCCTTCCATTCAACCACACCCCCTACATGTTAGAAAAATAGTTGTATTAGTATTGAATGTAGCACAAGTCATAGAAATTAGGATGACAAAATGGAAATATAAATGCCAACTAACATTTGAAAAACCAGTAAAATTTATTCCAATATTCTGATGCTTTCTCAAGGGCTACCATTAGTATAGAAACATTAAGAAGTAACAGTCTCAAGGGCTACAATAAGTGAGAAAGGTGTATGACTTAGCTTACTTGTTCCTTGGACCATTTGATTGAGTCCTGTAACCATAAAAGATGACAAAATCTCACTTAAAAATTTTCAAATATATAATATACACATCTCACACCATTAATTTGAACAGGTTAATTAAATCCATACAATTTCTTCACGCTTATGAGTTTCGAGTACTAAAAACTACCAAGGAAAGACCTAATAACAAAGCCATTAACAAAAATGAAAAAAAAATCCAAATAGCATCACAAACTCAACACTTGCACTATTAGAGCATAATAAGAGAATATAAAAGTAGTCAATAGAACAATTGGAAAACAGAAATCAAATAGCCCGGCCAAGGAACCAAAATGTTTGCTTTCTTGATGATCATTCCTTCACACATTATTTTATGGTTTAAATCAACTTTTGACCTTACAAATTTTTTAAGGCAAAAACTTATATGAGTTCGACCCGTCTCACAAATAGAGACACGTGAGACGGTTTCAGTGTTACCCTAACTTTATTGACTCTTCTTAGTGTATATATATATATATGTGTGTGTGTGTGTGTGGGGTTTGATATGCACGCAATAATGTGTGCAAATTGATCAAAAAGAAAGTCCACTTGACCCAAATCCATAATAATCTCTTTCATTTGATATCAAATTTCAATAACACTTTGACAAAGTATATTAAACCATATATTATTGTTTGGATAACTTTTCTAGCAGCTTAGCTTCCTGATGGACTCGATGACAAGAACATACACATCACAAATCTTGGATAGTAGGATAATTTTACTAAAGCAAATTAAAGCTAGGGGCCGGGAAATTAAATTAAAATTGCAGAGTTCAATTAAGCCAGGATTGTTCAAGCCCCCATGCCATCATCATCATCAGCACGCAGGTCCCTCTGGGCGATTGTTGGTGTTCACATACATTCCATTACCTTCATCATTTCGCATGCCACCACCCATATCCATGGAAGCAGGAGCACGAGGAGGAGGGGGAGGCATCAAAACCGAATCCCCCTCTTTCCCCAGAGCCGCAAGCTTCTCAGTAATTCGCTCCAAATGCCTTTGGGTCACCACAGCCAAGTCATTGAGATGAACCAAGTTCATGGCAGGCAGGCTCATCAGCTGTCCACTCAAGTACTGGTACATCATCTCCGTCATTTCCTTTTCCTGGTTCCCTGTCGACACTTTTAGCGCCTTACTTTTCACCTTCTCATACCTTTCTTCAGTGATCGTCTCCTGGCTATACTTCCTCCGAGTCTGCTCCACCTGCGTCATGCCCTTGAACCGGGCATAGGCCTCCCGCACCCCGCCCTCGTCGGGGAACACCTCCGTCTCAATCTCCCTGAAAGGGCTGCACACCACGGCGCACACCGTGACGCCGCACAGCACGCTCAGCTCCCGTGCCTTCTTCACCAAACTCTTCTTTCTCTTCTTGAACGTGGTTTTCCTGTTGGAGTCGTCTGTGATATAGGTTAATATTCTTTTCCTAGACGCGCTGGGCGTTGCCGCCATAGCCGTTTTCTTTGCCTATTCTATTCAATGAGAATATAATGAAGACAATGATTTCTTAACAGGGCCGGGGGGCTTCCTTTATATACGTAATTAAACACAATGAGGAGATGATGATTAGGTTTGGATCATTATTCTTAATTTTCTACCCATCCCGCGCGCATGATGAAAAGATCTACTAATTTAGAAACACACATCTTTACCTATTTAAGAACTTGTTTTTATACGTTAACCACTATGGAGTTGGTAAGTAGTAGGTAAGACCCAAAAGGGGAAAATTTGCATCTGAATTATTATTTCTTCATTGGTAACAAAATATTACATATATATTGGCATTTTATTTCTTACTTTATGTGCTAAATTCATAACGGACAAATTTAAAAACACCTCTTTAATAAGAAATTCATTTTCATACATCGTTATTATCTATTAATGGCGTGACATGGACAAAGTCGTTTGTTTAATTAACTAGTTTTTTACGCGCATTGCGCGATTGGGATAATGCCCAATGTTTTTTTTAAATAAGTATTTTAAAGTATATCAAGACAAGATTATATTGGAATTATTCATTCTTCCAATTCAAAAAGGTTGAACCCTAACCCCAAGGGCCCCCCACACCCCGACCCGACAGAGCGGTGGGAGGATGTAAATCAATATATTGGAATTATTCATGCATAGATAATTGAATGTTAAATTTGCGTATTTAAATAGGCAATTCTAAGTTTACAAATGCAAGATAATATATTTAAGATTGATTATAATTGTCAATAAAATAAAAATTAGGGCATAAAATATTAAATATATACTAATATTGAAGAACTAACTGCTGATTGCCAAACAAGGACATTGCGAGATAGTTTCACACCTCAATTTGTTGTGTGATTTGAATACTTTTTTTTTCAATAAATCCCCCAGTAGTTAATATGATTGCCTTAATTATATTTTTTATTTTTTTATTTTTTAAAAACAATTATTATTATTATTATTATTTTTTAAACAATTATTATTTTTTATCAAATATATATATATATATATATATATATATATATATATATATATATATATATATATATATATATATATATATATATATATATATATATATATATATATACTCTTAAGTTATTTTACATATTAATCTAAAAAGCTAATTTTTTCAAATATTTTTTACCAATCGTTGATGTAATTCGCTGGTCAAATTCGCTAATATAATCCGCTAACGCTAATCGCTAGCTGCTGATTGTCAAACAAGGACATTCCGAGGTAGTTCTCACTTTAATTTATTGTTTGATTTGAATACTCTCTTTGTTAACAATTCCCTCAAGTAGTTAATATGATTGAATTTATTAATTATATTTTTTTAATTTTTTCATAGTATTAATAAAATATTTCGTAAATAAATATATAGCATTATTTTGTATTATAACTTCGATATTTAATTAAAAATAGTGCACACAAAGATAATAGACAATGTAGTGAATATAATCAATTGATGAATTTGAATGTAAAGAATTTTTACATTGGAGAAATATAAAGACAATATAACTAATAAAATTATTTCTCTTAATTAATTTATTGATAATGAATAATTTTTGTTTTAATAAAGACATTGTAGGGACAATGTAGCGAATATAATCAATTGATGAATTTGAACGTAAAGAATTTTCATATTGGAGAAAAATAAATACAATATAACTAATGAAATTATTTCTCTTATTTAATTTATTGATAACAGATATTTTTTTTTGAATAAAGACATGGTAGACACATAATTCTAAAATAAAAAAATGCATATGTATTATTTTTTGTTGTAGCTACTAAATTATTATTTAATTTAATAAGAGTAAAATAGAGTACTAATTATGCCAACTTTGATTGGAATGAGGTTCGAACCTAAGACCTTTCTTATTGAAACAATGAGTAAGTTAACGGTGAACTAACAAAAATTAACGGAAAAGATAATATTTAATGGAAAAGTTAAAGGATAATCATATTCATTAAGGATAAATTAGGAAATCTTAAGGAAAAATTAAAATCTAATCAATCTGAGCCATTCATTTACTTAAAAAATTTGACCGCCATTTTTTCTACCCATTATAGGCCTAACTCCCTTGGGCTCTTATCCTATCCTCTATATATATATATATATATATATATATATATATATATATATATATATATATATATATATATATATATATAATAAAGCTATATGGTCTTGTGAAAATTAAATGGTGATAATCAACATTTAATTTTCACAAGACCATAATAATATTGTTAATTATAATAACAATAACAATAACAATAATAATGATAATAATTTCCACTGATAGTTTCTAATATATATATTTATTTATTATATTTATTTATATTTCAATTTCTACTGGCAAATTATTGTGTGAATGATGGTCCACATAATTGTATGGATCATGAATATCAAATACATTTTTAATATATTAAAAATATATTATTTTTATATTGAAAGTACCTTACATACATATATAATGTACCCTTAGTATATTTAAAATATACCTTTTATTGCATGCAACCCCAAAGTTCATAAATTTGAAATTAATATATGGCATAGCTAGGCGTCCTAATATTTAAGATTGTTGATGTACATATTGAGGACTACGGAGACAAAGATGCTTTATTCGTGGATTCATCGGATACTATCCAACAACACTCTCCAACTTAATTGACGTGAAATAGGCTTAGTAACATTAAGATTATATTCTCGAATTATTAGTTCTCAACTTTTATTGATTACACACTTAATTCGATAGTATTTGGAAGAAAAAATCAATGTTCGACCTATGAATTGTAATTTTGGTCTTTAAAGGTCAATTGTATGTTGCTACATCTAGAGTTAGAAATCTCAAAGGTCTAAAAATTTTGATCCGTGGTGACTCTAAAATTGTAATTCAATTACTATTGTAGTTTACTAAGTTCTTAAAAATTTGTAATATTAAATACTATGTACTAAATTTTTAATATAGTTTAAGATTTGTAGTAATCACCCACCTTGAATATTATTTTAATTGTAAATATATTTATGTTCATAATTTTATAATAGGAATTTACACATAATAATTATTAAATAACAAAAATTTTATATATAAATAAACCTCATATAGGATATATTTTTATAACATATTTTTCGTGCATCGCACGGGACAAATACTAGTTAGTATAGTAGATATATCATTCCATATTTGAGAAACTCACGCGTTTTTATTTATATACCATTATCTATTAATTGAATGGTGATGACAATGACTATGGAGTGAGTAAGTAGCTAGCAGACAATGTCATTAGGGTATGTTTGTATGAAGTATGAGAGAAAGTTTTAATGAGTTGTTTGGTTGGATATAGTTGTAATAATTTAATTACAATACAATTCTTTGGCTATTCAAATTATAGTGTTTGGTTGGAGGGATTGTTGAATTGCAATTCATATTCCTCATATGAATTAAAAGGAAAATCGAAAGTAAAAAACTTTTTTACCCTTGATTATTATTAGCATTATTATTACTATACACAATGATATTTTAGTCTTTATACAACTTCTTCCATTCTCATTCTCAATGATTCTATTCCTCTCTACCAAATAATGTAATTTGAATTCCTACTTTATTTTCACCAAATTACAATTCTTCCCCCCTTAATTTCTTTATTTCAACCAAACGCCCTGTTATTGAAATATTACATATGCCTCTATTATAATAATAATAATAATAATAATAATAATAATAATAATAATAATAATAATAATAATAATAATAATAATAAGGCTCAAGTGTCAAAACGCACCATGAACCAATTGCCATATGTCATGCTGCACCCTAAACTTTTATATCTGCTGGTTTGGTCTATAAACCATAAATTTTTATTCATCTAAACTTTTTAGCAGGTTTCCAGGTTACCTTGATGACATGGTAACGGTTATGTGTTGATGTGGACTTATTTTTAAGATTCAACTCCCATTTCAAAGACTGTGCTGATGTGGCATGGACTGAAGGTCATCCGACTGATCTTCAACGCCATGTACTAAGCTCCTTCTGTAAATCGCCAGAGCCAGCACCAGCAGCCATAGCAACGACTGACCACCACGGCACACAGTGCTGACCAACCCAGATTCTGGCGACTTGACAACCACCCTTGAGACTGTATGGGATGATGAAGCACAGTTTCACGATGTTGCCAAGTGCAGGTCTCAGGTTGCAAGAAAGCTACTTGTGGAATGCGAGAACAAGAAAGGCAAAAATTCTCTTATAAGATGATGTGGTGGATGGCTGCTGTATACTGCTGCCTCTGTTGGGGACTTGAGTTTTGTCCAAGAATTGCTCGAAAGAGACCCCCTGCTTGTCTTTGGCGAAGGAGAATATGGTGTCATTGATATATTATATGCTGCTGCGAGGAGTAAGAATTCTCATGTCTTTAGGATTCTTTTTTATTATGTTGTTTCCCCGAGGTTCGTATCAGGTAATGGCAAAGAGCTGGAAGAACACGTTGGTGACATTCCATCGGCTTACAAGTGGGAGATTCAGAACAGAGCTCTTCATGTTGCTGCTAGAGGAGGTAATCTCGGGGTTCTGAGGGAACGTCTAGCTGATTCTTGCACGGATCATGTGTTGGCTTACAGAGATATACAAGGTGCCACCAAACAAAGCTGGAGAAACATTTCTTCATGTTGCGGTTACTGGTTTCCAAACTCCTTGCTTTCGGAGATTGGACCGTCAAATCGAGCTCATGAAGCAATTTGTAAGTGGAAGGATCTTCGACATTGAAGAAATTGTAAATGCGAAGAATAACGATGGCAGGATTGCGCTTCATTTGGCCATCATTGGTAACATTCATTCCGAGCTCGTGGAGTTGCTTATGACTGTGCGTTCTATGGATGTCAATACTTGGGATAAGAATGGAATGACACCGCTTGATATTTTGAGGCAACGTCCACGCTCAGAATCATTGGAGATAATTATGAGGCAGTTGATTTCTGCTGGAGGGATCTTCAGTCAGCAGGAATATGCCGCGAGAAGAGTTGTTGTTTTCCATTTAAGGATGCAAAGCATGTGAGTTAGTCCTAGCACTTCTTTCAAAATCTCTGACCCCGAAATATTCTTGTACACAGGCATTGAGAACGCATCGGATGCTGAGAACAGATTAGCCGGAGAAGAACAAAGAGAGATCGAGAAAAAATGCTGAGAAAGTAAAAAAATGCCATGTCATATTTTTAATACATATTTAAATAAGCTAATAAAATAACACCTCCACGTCAGCATATTATAATGGGTAACTTGATGGCAACCTGCTAAAAAGTCTAAACGAACAAAATTTTATAGTTTGTGCATCAAAATAGCATATATAAAAGTTCATGGTGCGGCATGACATATCGCAATTGGTTCATGGTGTGATTTGACACTTTAGCCTAATAATAATAATAAGCAGCCACCTGCGCGCCGGACGCCTAGCGTCTTCTGCAACATTGAAGGATTACAAGCTCACCGAGCAACAATTCTTGTTCGGGGCCCAGAAGCTAAGGACAACTATCATCCAGAAGAAGAGTGAAGAAGTTTTTGATAAAAAAGAATCTAAGAACATGGTTCAAGAAGTAGAGGAATCCATATAAAATAATGAGATTGCCCTAAAGATTTTAGAAGCCCAGGCAGCGGAAGAAGCCCAAGCTTCCAAACCTGTGGCTAAGAGCAACTCCAATAGGGGGTCCATTCCCTAATTTTGACACAGTAAAATGTCTTTGAATGACTCCTTAACAAATGGGAAGGCAAAATTGCTGCTGAATTTTTCTCCTACAAATATAAAAGTTTTGTCAGTTTTTTAAAAAAGAAAAGGGATGGGAGGGAGACGCGTGTGGGGTATGGGCCCGCCATTGTAAATTATGCTTGTTTCTTTGTTTTATTATTTTTTTATTTTTAAATTATGCTTGCTTCTTTGTTTTATTATTTTTTTATTTTTAAATTATGCTTGCCGTTGCAAAATGCAACGGCTAGTTTTTTTTTTTTTTTTTTTAATTTTAATTTTTAATTTTTTTTCTTTTAATTTTATTTAATTTTTTGTTATAATTGTTATTAAATTTATTAAATTTATAATTATTAATAATAATATTATTAAATTTATAATTATAATTTGAAAAATAATAATAGATAAAGAAATAATTAAAATATGTAGATAAAATGGTAGGTCCACAAAAAGTTGTGAAAAAACTTAAAACTAATGGGAATAAGAGATTTTGTGATTGAGTGAAATAGTGGATGATGAGGTGGATATTGAGACCCACAAAAATCTAGAAAAAAATCCCCAACTATTGAGGATCAAAAGTAGAAGAAGGGGAAGGAGAGGAAGGAGAAAACTGTGAAGAAAAAGAAGCTAACGCTCAGGAAAAAAAAAAAAAGTTCCTCCCGATGTGAACATTGCACCAGATGGAAGTAAAGAGCAACGGAAGGATCAAGTCCTTCGAGGCGAGCTCCCAAATGGTTCTGGAAGAAGTACGTAAGAATTTGGAAGCATCCATATATTTTGGCCAGTGAAGGAAAAGCAATTTCGGTCGAATGAAGCCACCCAAATTGTCACTCACTCAAGTTCTAGAAGTTATTCGGGAAGGAACTAAGGGTGTGTTTGGTTGATGGGTTTTACTCATAAGAATGGGTATGAAAGTGATTATTATTGTTTGGTTTGTAGGTTTTTAGAACACTATTATGGGTTTCGAATACTCCATTAATTGAAAAACTCATACCCAAATAAAATAAGGGTTTCATTCCCTTATTCATTTTCAAGCACTACTATTAGTAACCATTCTTATTCCACCCTACTACCAAACATGTTAAATACTTCTACCAAAACTCATTACAATTACCAAGTATTTGATACTCATTCCAATTCCGATTCTCAAGTACGAACCAAACACACCCTAAAACTCCAATAATGGTTCTAGAAGAAGAGATTTATTCGGTAGAAATGATCCAAGAACACATAGAAGTCCATGTTTCATCTAATAGTGTCTTCGAGGAAGATCAATATATGACCGGAAGAAGATTGGCATTTAGAGTATAAGGATGATCCAAAATCTTCCAAGAGTGCAAGACTAGAAGGAAGGTTGTTTCCACCAACCAAGGTAATCAAGACCTACTGACTGACCAATCGGAAGGAACTAAGGGTGTGTTTAGTTCGCACGGGAATCGAAATTAGAATGGGTATCAAATACTTGGTAATGGTAATGAGTTTTGGTGAAAGTATTTAAGGTAGTAGGGTGGAATGAGAATGGTTACTAATAGTAGTGCTTGAGAATGAAACTCTTATTTTATTTAGGTATGAATTTTTCAATTGATGGGATATTCGAAACTCATAGTAGTGTTCTAAAAACCTATCAACCAAATAATAACAATCACTTTCATACCTATTTCTATGGACAAAACCCATCAACCAAACACACCCTAAGAGAGGTGTAGAAGTACATTGGCTTCCAAAGCCAAAGGTTGTAGAGGAAGTAGTTGATGGAACTAATCTGACGGAAAGAGCAATGTAATTAGAACTCTTTGATTATTAAAAGTCTATTAATTTATATTGGTAATAGACAATATTAGTCGGCAATATGATATTGAAAATTGTAAGGCAATGTAAACACAATTAATTCGACTGATTGAGTTATCTTTCACAACTTTATTATAATGATAGATGATAGATAGATAATAAATTTGTGCAGATTTTTAATCTGAGAACCTAATTAAGTAAAAAGTAAAAACCAATATTCGAGGGACCCAGCTGGTATTAACACTTTCATCAACACAATATTAATTAACTACCGGAGTAGTTTCTAAAATGAAAACTACACTTAGAATCCAGAAGCCTTGGCAAGAGTTATGGCACCATCCAAGCAAAAACACACCAACATAACTAGCAATATAATAGCAATGGGGATATATATGATCAGATCAGAAGGAATAGTCCCAATCAACCTGAAATATGGGGTCGCCAGGGCGCGCACCCTTTAGCATTTCAATGGTTGAGTCAACTAGAGATTTATCAGGCGGCACAAGCTCATTCCCATCATCACCGCCCTGCAAACTCACATAGTAGTCGTCATAGGTTTGCGATGACGATGATGATGATGAACCAAAGTTAATGACGCTTGGGGCTGAACTGCTGAACCAGCTTTGATGGCTTTTTGTTTCACTTTGAGTTTGAGATGATGAAATATGGAACAAGCTTCGGCTTTGAGTTGAAATGTGGCTCAAGCTTTGGTTGCTCGACTCGCTCTTATGTTCCTTATAAGCAGCCATCTGTAGGTTATATCTTTCTTTGTCCTTGTTACTAGCATCAACATATGGCTGTAAAATCAAGTAGTAACAATTTCAAATAAGCTAGGTTGTCTAGTTCAAAAATTTCCAGGCCTTAGGAGTTAGGACACATGTAAACAATATATTTTTTAAGTCTGGTGTTACAACAGATATGACTATGTTTAGTAGTAGAGCTTATTTTAAAGTTTATAACTTATTTTAAGTTACAGATAGACTATAAATTTTGTTTGAATTGATAAAACATTGAGGGATTAAAATAATAGCTTATTTTGAAATGCTGCATAGCGTTTCAAAATAAACTAATAACTACTGGCCTTTAACTTTCAGCCTTAAAACTAGCTTATAAGCTAGGTATGCCAGACAGAGCCATGAATATTCTCAATATATAATTAATTAAATGATATACTATACTATATCGTGATTACTAACTCGCAAAATGTACTTCAAGGAAGCATATATATACCTTTCGCTCGCTTTCAGAAAGATGCCTCCAGGTATCAATGATTTCATCTATCACTTTCTGATTAACCGAATTCTCCCCGTGTGCATTCTTAAACCGATCACATTCCAACTTTAGGTACAGTTGATATGCAGTCCTTGCTTTCTTCACTTCCTTATCATTTGTCGAAGTTCGCAGGATTGGTTTTAGCTCGGGTGTCTTAGGCCCTGCGGAGTCACTAAAAAAATCAAACTTGCTGAATGGAACATAATGGCCCTGTTTGGTAAAATGGCTGTTAGCTGATAGCTGTTAGTTGTTAGCTGATTGTGTTAATTAGAGGGTATAAATAGTTGATAACATTAGCTAATTGTAGAAAAGTGTTTGGTAAATTAGCTGTTAAATGTTAACTGTTTGGTATAATTTCTTTTCTCAAAAAGCTAATTGAAAAAGTTGCTTGGGGTAGCTTTTTCAATTTTAATCATTTGGAGTTGTAAAAAGCTAATTAACCAAACATTTATATTGATATTTTAACTAAATCAAACAATTAATAGTGGTCAAATAAGCCAAAATTGGCATATAGGCCAACTTTTTACCAAACAGGGCCAATATAGGAAAATATTGCAAATCAACATTATATATGTTACATTTTGCGCGCCTAAGAAAGACAAATTAAAGTGGGAAATGTATGTTTAATATACACTACAGGAAATTATGGAATTTCCGACCACCTGAAAGTGATCTTAAATCAAGTCAAAATTAAAAAGTGGTCGGAAATAGCAACAAAAGTTTTTCCGGATACCAAAAGTGGTCGGAACAAGACTTTCGACTTGATTTAAGATCACTTTTAGGTGGTCGGAAATTCCATAATTTTCAGTAGTGATTATATAAATGTTCCAAGTTAGATAATTTGATCTGATCCATCTCAATCTTTTATCTTTTACATATTATACTCCAGCATCAATATAATCTAGTTTCACGTACTATATATTCATTTCAGTCAATGTTAACATATACACAACAGATCAAATAGATTAAGCGAGATGAAATCATAGTTTTACATAAGCCACAAATTAAACAAACCTTTTGAAAGTTGGTAATTGTCAGGAGTGAATGTTGTTTTGTTATTTGGAGTGTCCTGAATATTAGAGCAAAGGAGCAGCCTCTCATAATGTCTCTTTGTCCCTCTCAGGCCATTTGGGCTATCTGCAGAACCTACTTTAGGACCTACATTAATTGTTGAAATTAAACAGACTCCAAATTTTGGCAAATTATACTACAATGAACCGAGGTCCATTTTGCATTGTGAAACTTAGTTCAGAATTAGTAAATTACATTCCTTCTTTTCCCAAATACTGCCCACTAAACCATTGAGCTAAGCTCATGCGTGTAGTAAATTACATTCCTGATTATGCATGTGCATGCAGTTAACGTATATGTGTCTACCACTAACAAATTATATATGTACTTATAAATAAATTAAAGGCACATAATATGTTAACTGCATGTACATAATTTTTTAACTACAGACACATATACATATAAGTTATTAATTGAAAGTACATAATATGTTAATTGCTGACACGTAATAACAATAGTCCAAGATTGATCCATGGTATATATGGGCAGAATCAAATAAAAAGTCCTGTAAAAAGTGAAGATGGATCTTAGCCGATCATTGAGGGTTAAAAAACTTTAATTTTATAATTGTAAAAAACTTTTAAGAACAAGTTTATTTTATAATTAGTGAAAATTACATTTTTCATCTCCGAATTATATGATAATTGTAGAATTCGTCACTAAGTTATCATTGACGTTACACTTTTCACCATTTTACTAACAAAACATCAAGGACAAAATGTGCAACTTTAGTATAACTCAGGGACAAAAAGTGTAACGCCAAAATTATCAGGATTCCGCAGAATATACTGCATGTAAGAGAGTATATATATCCCATTGCATGCATGCATGGTACCTTGTTGGGAGGATGGAGATGCTTTTCCTGGAGTCCGGTAGTGATGCATTTGTTCAAACTGCTGAAGAATACTATTATACACATTTTTAAGTTGAGTACCTATAATTATTACATTATCTTTCCTCTTCAAAAACCTTGCAATTTCATCCCATTTCCCATCCTTCGTCACCTATATATATAATAACCAAATAATTAAATCTAACCAAATATTAGAATTTTGAGTAATGATCGAATTGAATTGAATACCTGATGAAATCCACCTCTTATAGTGACTTCCTTGTACAACAGATACAAATCCAATGTCGTTTCCCTTAAATTAATTCTGAAAAATAAGAAATAAAAATAAATAAATAAATAAAAAGTAACAACTTTGGCTCTGTTTGGCACGCTCAACTGAAAGTTTAGTAAACTTAATTGTTAAATTTGCTAATAAGTGTAATAATATATAAAAGATTAAAACTAAAATATTAGGATTTTAAATAATAATGATAAGTTTGTGGTACTAGTTTTATAAATTAATTAAAAAATAATAATATTTCAAAACAAACTATTATTTTTAAACTTCTTATGCATATTTTATAAACAAAAAATTTAACTTATTTATATAATTTAAAATAAACTATAAGTTCTACCAAATTTAATCTTGTTAACTATCCAAGCAGAAAAGAAAAAAAAAAAAATGCATACAAAGTAATTATTATCTCACATTAGACTGAGGCCGGAGGACTCATTCAGCTTCTGCAACCTTTCATAGAAAACATCCTTTTCGTCGGAACGGCTTCGAGCCGCCGCCTCCGGAGCAACTTTCGTTGATTCCGAGTTGCCGTCGGCGACTGTGGCCGGAGGACCGGGCTTCGGATCATCAGCGCCGCCGGCACCGGCGAGTGCGGCCGTGTTCTTGTCTGCTAAAGCTTTCTTCCTCCTCTTGTACTCTTGCATTTTGCTGTGTGTGAGAGAGAGAAGTTTCAGTGTTGTGTTATGAGTTGTGGCTCCGAGGAGTTGCAGTGTCTGGGGACTGGGATATTGAGACGACCGCACGCATGCATGGGGCGCATTATGCGGGAATGGTCCGACGTGGAAGCATCTGGACTCTTGGTTCAGATATGTTCACTTGGTGATGTCTGAGATGGGTACATGTGGCCGTCATGCATACAACCCGGGGGAGCAGAGGATCTTGGCCGTTCATAGTGGGCATTGAAATTCTCTCTGCCGTCAGTTTTTAACACCTTTTCATAAGATGCACTTAAACGAGCTGGCGTTAAGTTGCAAACTTGCATGAGAGGATTCCAAGGATAAATTATCCTATATCTTCTCCCAAAAGGTTGAGTTGCCAACCTCCAAGGCAATCACATCAATTGTTCAATAGTTTAACAAACATGGCCAAATGCCGATACATATAAAGAATTTGCCCATTTTGAACATAATGAGTTCAAACTTTGTTCTCTTCTTCCAAATACTGCTCATTAAACCATTGAGCTAAGCCCGTGCCGGTTAAATTATACTATATCTAATTCTACTTTCATATCAAATTAATTAAAAAAAGTTATTGTTTTTATTTATTTACACTTCTATATTCAATAAAATTTATACATGAGTCTAGAGTTATACTCCATAAGAGTATCTGAATATATCCATTATCTTTCGACTTCTAAGATGTGGCATAATATCCCCGATTAGACTTGCTTCCACTTAATGTTCAATGAATGATTAGTTAGCTTATCTTGCTCTTTTAAGTTTTAAAAATATTGATAAAATGGGGGTGTACCTCTCTCTTCCATGTAGGCAAACATTTCTTATATACCGTGAATGCTTCTCTGATGGAGATGCTCTTACTCAAAACATATTTACCTAAAATGACCACTTAACATGTTGTTACTGGGTCATGTCATCATTGACCACACAATAATTAGCTAAATGAGCCCGTTGTACATTTTTACTTTTCACTTTTAGTGTCTAAATGCAGCTTTTTATAAAAGAAAAAAAAAACGATCCATCGACTATATCTTAATTTCTAATTTAATTACCCTATCATTCTTACCTAATTAAGTCATCAACTATGCAATATTTATCCAATTTAATCCTATGTTATCACCTTTGTTTGTTGACTATCAGAAATAAGGACAAAATTGTAACTTTGCTAGTTTTTTATGTATCACTCGAGATTCACCATCTTTAATCAATCATTAACATTTCAAAACAAAACAAAGTGGTGAGTATAGTAGAATTGATCATCTTCATATGGCTCTCTCTATCCCTCCTCCGTCCACCTCAAACCACCCCCTCTAGCAGAGCTCCACCATGGGTATCGATCTAAAAGCCGGAGGTAAGAGCAATCAAACCAATCTTTATTTAGAGAAGATAACAATAATAAGGATATTTACATCTTAGCCAACAATATAATGGAGTTTAATTATATGGTTGTTCCTCCTATTAGGTGTTAGTTTAGTTGCTCCAAATAAAATACTTGTGTTGTTCTTAGTACACAAGGTAGAGGTCTTGCTTCACAAACGTCTAAAGAGATTGAAGAAATTGGTCTCAACTTGGTGCTAGTTTATGAAAATTTTAACATAGAATAAAATTGAATAGAATTTTCATAATTGAGAATTTAATTAAGAATGGTAGTCCATAGCGAAATTAGTAGTTTTAATATATTTTAAAGAAGATTTTAGTTATTAACTAAAAAAAATTAAGAAAAATTGTCAAATAGACTCTTGAACTTTAGGCAAAATGCAATTAGGCCTTTAAACTTTAAAAATGTGTAATTAAACACTCAAACTTGTAAAAATGACTTAAATAAGCCTGCTTTATCAGTAACCAACAAGTTACCGGTAATATTATATATGTTGACCACTGTTGACCGCCACTAACCACCATTAACAACCTAAAAAGTAACTTCCGATGACTTTTCCACCAGAGAAGACGACCGTTATCTTCTCCGGTGGAGAAGGCGACCAGTCCGGTCCGGTGGAGAAGGCGACCAGATGCCTTCTCCAGTGGAGAAAGCGACGAGATGCTTTCTCCACTGGAGAAGGCAACCAGATCTGGTCGCTTCTCCATCGGAGACGACAACTGGTGGTTGTCTTCTCTGTTTAGGCAGCTTGATTTATTATTATTATTATTTTAAATTTTTATTGTTGCTAGAATTATTGTTTATCGTCGGAATTATTATTGAAAATATCGCTAGAATCTGAATGATTGGTTATTTCAAGTGAATAACCGGCTATTAGATTTAGACGCACCAAAATAACAAGTTTAAATATTTAATTGCACATTTTTAAAGTTCGATGGTCTAATTACACTTTTGTCTAAAATTTAAGGGTGTATTTGATCATTTTTTCCAAAAAGTAAGAGACATAATTACATTATTCTAATTATTTTGAGACTTATTTGCCCACACGGCCACACCAATAAAAAAGATATGGGAATAAGGGTCAAATAGGCCATCGAGCTGCACACGATAATGCAATTAGACCACTGAATCCAAAAAATTAACAATTGAGTTCCTAAACTAACCAATTTCAAACAATTTTTTCCATTCCAACAGGTCAACGAGTAATCCTCCCAAATTAATTATTTTTTAAAAAATAAAGTTTAAAAATTATTTATTAAAATTAAAAAAATAAAAATAAAATAGAATCGAAGAAACCTTCTTCGTCTCCGGTCGGTTTCTTTGTCTCCATAGTCGGAGACGAAGAATTTCTTCGTCTCCGGCCATGGAGACGAAGAGTTTATTCTTCTCCATGATCGGAGACGAAGAAACTCTTTGTCTCCGACCGTGGAGACGAAGAAACTGGCAGAAGGATTATGTTTTTTTTTTTTTTTTAAATTTATTTATTTATATTTTTTTTAAATTTAAATAATTAATTTTTAAATTTTTTACCCTTAGTCCAAAGATATGTGCATACCATTTCATATCGGGTCAACCCGAGGGTGCTCTGGTTCGCGCACGATAAGATTTCTATCGCTACGTTGCGCTATGTGCGCCCTCTAGTGTCTTCATCGCGAGTAATCTTGCTTGCTCCAACACTCCACTCCTCTACCCAAAACTCCTCCAAAGCCTCCGCCACACCACAGCTCCGCAACTGAGAAAGTTTCGAAGAAAATCAAAGCTTTCTCTCTCTAAAAGCAAGGAAATGGCTCATTCATGTATGGCCACAACTTCTTCAATCTCGAAATTCAACTACCCAATCTTCTCCTCCGATTCTTATTCCTCAGAACGCCGCTGCCTTCTCTCTCTCCCGTTTAAACCCCTTCCATTAAGGTCTTCCCTCGCTCCTCTCTCTCTCTCTCTCTCTATGTGTGTGTGTACGTATGGATACATTACAAGTGTTGAATTTTTCCTTTTGGATAACTATTTTTAAAATTTGTTTGTATTTTTGTCATTTCATAGGAAATTGAATGCTGTTGGGAAAGTGAAGAGTCGTGGTAATACTGGCACGGCGAAGGCTGTGTATACCGGAGCGGATTGGGATTCAGTGAATGTTTCGAGAAGTGGGGTTTGGTCTATCAGGTAAAAGTTTCTTGAAATCTTAGAAAATTGGGTGTTATCGGATATTTTGGCTGGGAATAGATTAGGCTAAGAAAGAATACATTTTTCATGTCTGTTGGAAACAAAACTTCTGTAATATTTCGTTCTGATTTGGTGAGGACATAGGATAATGGTATGGGGTTATGATTAATGCTGTTTTTAGCTGACCAAGAAATTAAAGATACATAAGAAAATGGGTTTTGGAGGTCCCATTCTCTTTGTTTTCTAGAAGCTACTAATCAGTCTTGAACTGTGATGTTTCAAAGAAGTTACAGAATTTCTTTTGAGAGGAAATCTCTACTTGACAGGAAACTCAATAGAAGATAACATTCTGACCTACAGTTAATTGTTATCACTCTAACCTGGGCAAGGACATAAGTGGGGTTTCTTTTTATGAATAATGATTAGTATGCCATGTATGAGGAAGAGGTAGAGAAAAGCACTGAAACAAAAACATGTCCTTTTGCTTCTAATAAATTACACTACTTTGCTTTGTATCTTCGAATTCCCTTTGCTATCTAGCTGGATTGTTAGCAGCATTCTCTTTAACCGGAGTCTTATTGCTTGCAATTTACAGAGATGACTTGGAAGTTCCCACGTCACCATATTTTCCTGTACATGCACGGGGTCAGGGGCCACCTCCAATGGTGCTAGAGCGGTTTCAGAGTGTGATTAGTCAGCTCCTCCAATTTGTAGGGACTATGTCTCTCCCTTGCTGTCTGTTACAAATTTCTAATTTCTTTGCTTTTCTTTATTAACCTTTGCATTAATTGAACTTTTAGAGGATTATTCGATGTGGTGGAGCAGTTGATGATGATATGGCAAACATTATTGTGGCACAGCTCCTTTATCTTGATGCAATAGATCCCACTAAGGTCAGTATCCTATCTGTTCTGTACATTCTTTTATTAAGAGAGCCTTAGAGCAAACATATATTGAGGAAATGAGAGATTAAGTTTGTAGAAATTTATGACATTCAAAATGCTTACAAATAGAAAAGCTCATTTTAATATTTTATCTTTTCTCCATGTCGGTATGAAGAAAGATTACTTGATTGATTTGAGCTCTGCTGCAAGCATTTCTCTGTCAAACTAACTCTTGTTTCCTTAACAAAATTATGTTGACTTTCCAAGTAGTTTGATACTTCAGATTTTTGTTTTAATGAACTTATGATAGTGAGTTTTCTTTTTTCTTTCAATAAAGATAGAGTTGGCACCTTTTGCTTTTCAAGTACATCTTTTATGCTTAATTTGCCTTCATCACTAGCAAAAGAAATGTGCTTACAGCTGAAGGTTTTCCTGTAGATGTATAGGCCCCAATATACACCAGTTAATTAGTGAGTAAATGTAATGGTTTTTGTGTGAACATTACTGCAGTTTTTTGTTTCTTTATCCTACTCGTATTTGCTTCT